GGCGTGCGCGCGCGCGGAGCAGCGCCCCGGGGCCGGCGGCGCAGTGCGTCCGACGGGCAGTGCGCCGCACGTGGGGCGGCGGCAGGCGCACGACTCACTCCAGCTTTCCCTGCTGGGATATGGTGAGTCAGCGTCTGCAGTGCGGCGCCTGCCTTCACCTTGAGGCTTTGCTGGACATGAGTGGCCACTGAACCACATGATGGTGTTATGATGCATCCCCACTGCGCACACAGCAAGCGCGGGACAAGGATTACCTGCGCCGCACGTTCATGGGCGCCGGCCGCCGCAGCAGCGCCGAGAGCGGGGCCTGCGGCGCCAGCCCCCGCGCGGGCGGCGGCGCGGCGGCGGTCCTCAGCCCCCGCTTCACGTGCGGCGCCGCCGGCGCCGGCGGCTCCGCCGGCGGCGGTGCCGGCGGGGACGCGGCGCTGCTGCTCTCGCCGGTCGCCGAGTGCGGGCCGGCGCCGATCCGGCAGATCAGCGGGTGGATCTTCGACCCAGATCTGGTCGTGGAGATGAGGATCGCCGCGGCGTCGCCCTCCTCGCCGCGGGACGGCGCCGCCTGCGGCGGCGGCGGCGCCCACCACCATCAAGGACTCCATGTTTCAAAGGGCGGCGGCGGCGGCGGTGCTCCGGCGGCGGCCGCGCACCATCCCGCGCGGATCAGCGAGGAGGGGCCCGGCGGCGGCTGCGACGAGGGCGACGGCGCGCAGGGCGGCGGCCGCGCGAGCGGGGACGGCGGCGCGGGGGGAGCGAGCGCGCGGGCGGGCGGGTCGCCGCGCGGCCTTCGGGCGCGGAGGCGGAGCGAGGAGGCGCTGCGCGGGCCGGCGGCGGCAAGCCACACTTACCTGCGGCCGCGGCTCTCGGGCCAGCTGGAGACTCCTAGGCAAAGCGGCGGCGACGCTGCCGCGGAGCTGGCCGCCGCCGGCGGCGACGGCAGCTTCATAGCAATGGCGATGTCAGCGCTCGGGCGGCTGCGGCTGGGCCGGTCGCGCTCGAGCCAGCCGGGCAGCCCCAGAGCCAGCAGCAACGGCTCGTGGGCGTGCGCGGCGGCCCCGGAGACCGAGAGCGACCGCGCGCCGCTGCCGCCCGCCCGGCTCGGCCGCGGCGGCGGCTGCGGCGACGACGAAGCTGAAGATGCGTGCCAGCCGCTGGAGACGCGTGCGCTCGCGGCCGCGACCGCGGGCGAGGACGGCGATTCGTGTGGCGCCGCATGCGCCTCTGCCCCCATCGGCCCCCATGAGCCGCAGCGAAGGCAGGCGTCGGAAGCCGGCGCGCCCTGCCCCGTCGCGGCGGCGGCGCCGCTGAGCGCGCGCAGGGGCAGCCAGGGCAGCCAACCGTCGTTCACGTCGTCCGCGGCGCCGTCGCCGCGGACAGTGGCGGCCGTCTTTGCGGAGCTCCCGGGTTTGCGGCTGCTGCGCGGCAGGAGCGGCGGGAGCGCCGGCGCCGGCCAGCAGTAGAGGGACCCGAAACAGAGCGGTCAGCAGCCAAGGGGTGGGTGCCCAGCTGGTGACACCACGTGGTGGGTCACTGGGGTGTGTTGATCGCCGCCCAGCTTCCCCATCCACCCGCCCCCAACCGCCGCATCCATCGCGCTGGCTTGGCCGCTGGCCCCTCGGCGGTGCAGCAAGCAGCTCAACGTGGCCTCGCAACCGGAGCCCGCCGCCGCTTGAACGATCATGGCTGAACGCGGCCGGCGGTTCCCTCCCCGGCCCTGAACAAACCTCCTTGACTGCTGAACGTGACGCTTTGCCCTGCCCTGTCTCTGCTCTTAAGCCTTTTCCGCGCACCTCTGATATGTGCTCCTTATGGCCTAAAATTGTGCGTTTTACAACGGATTTGCTCCCTCCGGGCCTTGTCCTCAGATTGCATGCTTGGTTCTGACAGGGGCTGCGCATTTCTTCACAACACATGCAGGACACACACACACACCGCGCGCACCCAGGACAAGCACTGCTTGAAACAAGCCACTGCCGCCTCGCTCATCCACCTTCCTCGCTTGTCCGCGATCCTTTCTAAGCAGCGGGCCCCGGCCTGATCCAAGCTGCAGTAGTGGGGGTGTCACCCACGCACGACCCCTTTGAGGCGCACCACCCACTCCCCTTGCATCCCTCCTTGCAGCGCAATAACACCCACCCCAGTCCCCGGGCTGCACACGGCTGCGCCGCCCGGCTGCTAAGGTGCACCCTGCCCCGTCAAAACTCCGTGCGCCCCGCTTTGTGTTCGGGCCCCCCGTTCTTGCGCTGCCGCACTGCTGCGCCCCTGCTGCAGGCTTTCCTGATTGTTGCCTTCCCTGCGGGTTTGCAGACTCATGGAATACTTTGTGGTTGCGCCGGCAGCCCTCGAAACGATAACGGTGCAGCTGCCAGCCGCGGGTTGGATAAGACTCAAAAGCTCAAATGCTGAATGGGTTGTGGCACCCAGTGTGGAGACAGCTATCCCTAGAAGTGTCAAAGCCAGTCGCCACCTGGCAGTCGTCGCATTGGTCTAGAATTCTGGCGCGGTGTTTTACAACAAAGGTCGGGAGGGGGGGCGCTGCGCGCAAACGGCGGGGTTCCCGGCGTGAGGGCAAGCGCGCACAAGTTTGGGAGCCGCGGGTCAAAAGTGTGGCTGGTCGGGGCGACGAGCATCCTGTGTGGAAAAAAACTGATGCACAGGGCGGCGGGGAAGCGGCCCCGCGCCCACACACCTGGGGCCTGACACAGCAAAGAGAGGCACCCAGAAGTGGGACAGCAGGGCGGCCTCTTGTAGCCGCCGAGATGGTACCTGCGAGGGTGGCGGGCGAGCCAGCGCCCCCGAAAAACTTCCCCTTCCGTTTGACGGGACCCCCTCGGATCGGACGCCTGGTGCAGGGGCGTAGTGCGGGGCCGGGGCATGGGAGTGGTTCTTCAAGGGGCGAAAACGCGCTGGTGCAGGGCGGCCGCGGCCGCGTGTGTGCGTATGTGTGTCTCGTGCGCGCCGTCAAGAAAGCGCAGCATAGTGCTATGCCCTCGGAAGGTCTCTGGCGCGCGCGTGCGCGCGCGCGTGTGTGCCCGTCGCGACAAGCAGCGAGGGGGCGACGCGCGCGCGCATGCGTGCGCGAGCGATGGGTGTGGTTGTTGCTTTCATGGGCGCAGAACTGTATCCTCGGGTGCGAACAGCGGGCACAGGGGGCCTGATCCGGGGGCGTGCCGGGACGGCTTGGCGCCGCCGGCAGTGGGACAAGGAAGGGGGCAGGTGCGTGTGCAAAGGAAGCAGTAGGTAGGCGCTGTCTGAGGTGTGTACGGTGCGTGTGCGGGCGGCGCGCGCCCCTCTGAGCAGGTAAGTATCCTGGATATGAAGGCGTGGAGGCGCCAGTGCGCACGCGGCGCAGCGCTCGTGGCAGAGTGCTCGCTGCTCGCCGGCACGGCGGCCCCTCGCCGCACCCCGCCCAAGCCGCGTCTGCGGCTGGAACCCCGCGTTGGCGCGCAACAGGGGCTGCGCCGAGCCCCTCGCACTGCCCCCGCCGCGCGCCAACAAGTGGACAGCAATCGCTGCACCGGCGGGCGGGAGGGCTGGTGCGCGGCCCCCGAGGCTGGGCCGGCGACCCAACTAGACCGCGTGGGGATGGAAAGGGCCTCAGCGCCGCAGCGGCCCAGTGTGCGTCAGGATGGCCGAGCTGTGTGGTATTCCTTCATTGGGCCTTCGTTGGTCTCTTATGGGCAAAGCAGCGCGCGCATCTTCGGCTAGGGGGCGCCCCCGGCGCGCCCATCGGGAACTGCAAATGTGCATGCCCCTGGGTGCGTGAAGAGCCGAGGACGCCCGAGATTCGTTGGGCGGCACGTGCGCGCGCACGCGCGCGTGCAGCCGCCGCGCGGGCCAATGCTCCCGTCCGGCAAAGGGGCACGCGCGCATGCGCTCGCCGCGCTTGGTCCCCTGTGCACGAGCAGTTCTGGGTCGGGCGGCTTCTGATGGAGAGGGCAAAACTGGCACAGGGCCGGCTCGTCGGCGGGCACAACAAAGGCGTGGCGCCTGGGGCTGGCTCGTGGCTGCCCCTCGCAGGCGTGTGAGCACGGCGGCTCAACCTCAGGGGGAGGGCGGCCCCTAGCAAGCGGCCCGGGCCGGAAGCTCCCGAAGCAAGGAGTCGGCGCGGCGGGCAGCAGCGTCGCCGCCGCCGCCGCTCGCGCCGCGTTTGGGCCCGCGCGTGCGTCGCTCGCAAAGGCGTAGGGCCAGCCAGGCGGCCTGGCAGGGGCAGGCGTGCGTGCGGCGCAGTCGCGCCCCGCACACGTGTGTGTGCATCCAGAGCATCGCCCAAAAGTGAGCTCGTTGTTTGCAGTGCGCCTTGCCCTCGGTGCCTGTGAGGAAGCAGGTAGGGTGCAGGAGAGCTTCCCAATCAAAAACATCCCCCCATCACGCCGCCCGCGCGGAGCGCGCTTGAACACGCGCGCGCGAACCGAGGTGTTTGGGGGCTTCGCGTGAGAGAGAGTCAGCAGACCGGGGCCGCGCCCGCGTAGCGCGCCGGCATGCCGCCTCATCTTAACGCGTCCTATGGGCGCGCCGAGGTGCCAAGGCGCGGGGCGGCGCAATCCACGCCGGCCCCGCGGCCTTGCCTTTTTGCGCGCGCTTTTGCGTCGTTGGGGTGGCGTGCGTGAGAGCGCTGGCCCGCGTGGGCGTCGGCGTTTAAAGGGGGGGACAGTTCAAGCTTCATCTTCGTGGCGGCGGGGAGCCTGGGGCGGGGTCGAGGGGCTGGTCAAACTTGGGCTGCGCGTGCGCGCACGCATGGGCGCCGCGCGGCGCGGCGGCCGTGCGCCAAGGGGGCGGCGCAATGGGCGCCGGGAGCGGCGCATAGAGCGGTCTTGACAGAGAGACTTCGGCCGCTTGTGACCGCCGCGCGGCGCCAGGCAGCCGATCAAGAGAGGAACCTTGTGGCGCCGCCGCGCGCCCCGGCTCGTGGGTCAGCCAGCGGGCACGCATCGCGCCGTGGCCGGCCGCGGCGGCGGCAACGGCGTGGCCGGCCGCGACAAGGGTGGGAAGCCCCGCCTCGCCGATGCCGGCGCCGCACCAGCGGGCGTGGGGCTGCTGTTCGTGGCGTGTTTTCCCTTTTCAGTGGTGCGACAAATGTGATGTGATGCGACGTGGGCACGGCATCAATGGGCCCGGACGGGGGCGCTATTCACAAAGCAGCCCGCCGGACCGCCCAGGCGCGCAAGGGCCCGCTGGCTCCCGCAAGCCTGGGGGCCGTCGCGCGGCATTCCCTTTCCTTTTTCAGGGCACAGTGCAGGGTGCGGCGCGGGAGCTCAAGCTAGTGTTCCCAAAGCATAGCAAATGCGACCTGGGAGGGCCGCGCCGGCCGGCAGCGAAGGTGCAGAGGCTGTCCTCCGGGACAAAGGCGGCCCCGGGCCAACGGAGGAGCTCGTCCATCCGCCCCGTGCGCCGAGCCGCGCAAGCGCGCCAGCAACGCGCGCGAGGCGAGCGTCGGGACGGGAGCGGGGCAGGACATCAGGCGCGGGAGCGAGCCGAACCGAAGGGAGAGCTGGCGCAGGGAAGGGGCCCGCGCCCCCCTCGCGGGGCCGCGCCGGAGGCTTCGCTTGCCGCGGCGGGCTCCCGCGCAGTGCAGTGCCTTGCAGTTGGGCCAGTGCGGGTGTCTTCGATTGCAGTACACACATCCGATGAGAGACATTTGCAGCGTAGAGGTTTGCAGCTGCGCACGCGTGAGCGCGCCTTGGCGCGGCGACAGGGGCCGCGCCGGCGCCCTGCATCGCGGCTGGGCGCGCCGAGTTTGGCCGCGCGAGCCCGCGCGGCGCTTTGCGGTCGGCGCACGCCTTTCACAGGGGTCAACTCGCGGCAGTTGCAGCAGGAGGGTTGGAAACAGCGACATTGCAGTGCTGCGCAGGTGCTGCAAGAGCTGCGTGGCGCAGAGGAGAGCGGCTCCAGCGGTTGCTGCGGCGGCGGTGGACGTTGCTGCGGCGGCGGTGGACGCGGCGGGTCGGGCGCCCGGGCAGCCGCGCTACGCGAGCGCCAAGCCGCCCGCGCGCGTGACGAGCGCCGGGGCCGCTGCCCGCGGCGGCAATGCGCCCGGCGGCGGCGACGCGCCGCGGTGCAGCGGCCTCCGCTTGAGGACCGCGTGCACCCACGTCTGCAGCAGCGCCGCGCACGGCGACAGCGGCGCGGCGCCGCGGTAGCGAGCAGGAGGCGGCGGTGGCGTGCACGCCTCGGCGCGCGCGGCCGCAGCTGCCGCCGCGTCCGCGGCGGCTACGGCGGCTGCGTCTGCGGCCAGCTGGGTCACAGGGGGCGAGAGGATCGCTTCTGGGCCAGCGGCGCCTGAGGGGGTCGCGGGGTCACCAGCTGCCGCGCCGCAGCGCTCCAGGGCGGCGGGCCCGCCGGCCGCGACAGACAGGTGCGCCTCGGGGCTGGGCGGCCTCGCAAGGCCGCCGCCGCCGCCGCCGCTGGCGGCGGCCTGCGGGGTGTTGAGTGCAGTGCTGAGCTCGCAGACCGTGTCGAGGTCGCAGCAGCCGGGGAGGGGGCTGCCGCCGCGGGCAAGGCGAGGGACCTGGGGCGCGGGAGGGGGCACATGGGGTGGGGTGGGGGAATGCGGTATGCGAGTGTGGCTGAAGGGTGCATCGCACCCAGGCTTGGGCGTGGGCTCGAGGCTGGGACGATGGGGGCTGCGGGATGAGGGGCACGTGCAACAAGAGAGCGCTTGTCCACACACGCACGCATGCACACACACACACAGTTGGGCAGTCTGCCCAGAAGCACACACGCGCACTCACACACGCACACAATTTACGTGTGCATGATGCAAACTGAGAAGCGCACCTCGACAACGAGGCTGCCACGCCCATGGCCGGCCGCCGTGGCCGGCGGCGGCGACGCACCGCCGCCACCGTTTGCCGCCGCCGCCGCCGCCGCCCGCAGCCGCTTGGCTTCTCGCGCCTCCCTCGCGGCGCGCGCCCACGCCTGCGCGTGCCGCATCGCGCCGCCGCCGCCGCTGGTCGGGGCGCTGCCGACTGCGGGCAGCGGGGCCCCTCCTGCGCCCAGCCCCAGATAATTGGAGCCGCTGGGGCCAGGGCTGCAGGCACCCGGGGGCGGCATCATGGCAAACGCCGCGGGCCGCGGCGGCAGGCCGCCGCCCGGCATGGGCGCGGGCGCGGGAATTGCCCACCCGCCGCCGTCGCCAAAACCGACGGGGAGCGACAGTTGGTGGCCAAGACGCTGCGCCGCCCCGGGTGCAGTCGCCGCCGCCGCTGCGGCGCCGCGCGCGACCGGCGAGGACGAGCACGACGCGGCGCCGGCCGGCACGCGCGGCGCGGCAGGGGCGCGGCCGACCGCGGCGGAGGCGGTGCTGCTGCGCCTCAGGGTGCACGGCCTCGGCGCCGCCGCGCACGCGGCGGCGGCGGCGGCGCCGGCCCCTGAGCCCCTCGCACCGGCCAGGCCGACGCCCAGCGACGGCTGACGCTCCACGGGCGGCGCCTCTGCCCTTGCCGCCGCAGCTGCGGCGCCGCACGCGTGCAGCGCGGAGCTGCACGCCCGTTGCTCCCAAGGCGTGCTCTCAGCGGAAGCCGAGCAGGCGCCGCCGCCGCGGCAGCCGTTCGACGGCGGCTGCCCGGCGGCGCTGGCGCAGGACGCGAAGGAGGACGCGTGCGCGCTGCGCTCGGGTCCGTGGTTTGGAGTGGCAGGCGCGGAAGGCGCGGAGGCGGTCCTGCAGATTGAGGGGCTGTCATTGGGACAGGCGGCACAGCAGCGTGCGGCGAGGCCAGTGAGTGGTGCGGCAGCCAAGGCCAAGAACACCTGCGGAATACACTCAGGACATGCATGCATAGGGGATGGCCGCCACAAGGCGTGTGTGCGTGGAGCACGGGCCTCGGCTTTAAGTAATCACACACACCTGCTGAGGGAGGCCAGCTCGTTGGGTGCAGCAGCAGCGGCAGCAGCGGCGGCGGCTGCGGCGCCGCCAAGCAGCCAGGGGTGCGCCAGGAGCTGCGCGGCCGCCGGCCGCCGCCTGGGGTCCTGCGTGAGGGCGAGCCGCACAAAGTCGCGGCAGGCGGACGACGCGGCGCCGGCCGGCAGCGGGGGCGGCTCCTGGAAGCGCGCCTTGAGGGCGGCGACGGCGGGGTTGGCGTGGGAGAAGGGGGGCCGGCCGGTGAGGGCCTCAAATACCTGCAAGAATGGGACGGCGAGCGAGGGAAGGGGGCGGGTTGTGTTTGGAACCTGGGGGGCGACTGCACTTGAAGCGCGAAGCCTGGCTTCCCAACCCTTTGTTGTGAGGTTCAGGTCGCCATTCCTGATCCTGCTGCACACACCTAACCTTAATTTCAGATGTGTTTTAACCCTTACCCGCACACATGCGCGCATGTCAGCACGCGCCCAACACACACGCATACACATGTATGCCTCCCACACATGGAAAGTGCACATACAACCAAACACGCACAGATATCACACGCCCACAAACACCAGACGATGGATACGTATGTCATATATGTACAATATTCTTTGTTTTGACGGGTGTGCTGCAGCGCTCACCAGCACGCCCACGCCCCACACGTCCACCCTCTCGTCGTAGCTGGCCAGCCAGCTGGGGGGCAGCGCGGCCGCCTCCTCGGCAGTGGGCTGCGCCAGCACCTACAGGGGCCAGCAGGTGCGTGCGTAGGTGCGTGCGTGCGCGCGCGTGTGTGTGTGCGCGTGTGTTCGGGCGGCATTTAAGAGCATCGGCAATGCGATATTTGCTTTGCAGACAATGATTGGGGGAGGGTGAAACACTATCAATGTGATTGAGATCACATTGATAGTGCCCACTGCCGGTTGCTGAACGCTCAAGCGATCATGCAAGCTCTCCGGGGGAGGGCGCGCACCTCCGGGGCCATGTAGTCTTTGGGGAGACAAACGACACATGTGTGAGGGGGCAGGACGTATCAGGGGTGCATAAGCGCGCGCACGTATGTGCGTGTGCGTGTGCATGTGTGTGTGTGTGTGTGGTGTGTGTGTGGTGTGTGTGTGGTGTGTGTGTTTTCAGGGGCAGGAGATAGCCGCAACTGTCGGCAAGCCAACAAGAAAAGGTGGAGCCGGCGCAGTCGGCAGAGGCGTAGCAATGATCCGCGCGGCCAGGCCTGGAAACGCCCCGCAGGCGCGCACCCGTCGTGCCGACGCGGCTGATGGGGCGCTCGCGCCGCTGGTCGATTGTGAGGCCAAAGTCTCCCAGCTCCAGGGAGCCGTCGGCGGCGAAGAAAATGTTCTCGGGCCTGGGGAGTCGCACAGGAGGGAATTGGCATGCGAGTGAGTGTCGAGGCGCAGGGCTGCCGCTGAGGGCGAGATGGGGGAGAGGACCAGAGCTTCAAGGGGGTGGGGACGTTGTAGCTGACATAGCAAAGTCACACTGTAGGGGTTCACACGCGGCAGCCGCTGCCCGGCCGGCCTGCCCCAGCAATCGCTTGCCATGGCGGCTGCCGGCGCCGCGGTGGCGGGACGATCGCATCCCTGTTCATCCATGCGCCAGATTCAGCATGATCCCCTGAGCGGCAGCACCCACTTGATGTCTCGGTGAACGTAGCCCATCGAGTGCAGCCGCGCCAGCACAGCCAGCAGCGGCACTACCACCTGCAGGCAACGCGTACATGCAGCAGGCGGGGACGTGGGGGGCCTGCCTGGCTAAACCAGAGGACGGGCAAGTGGGAAGCGTATCGGCTCTCAAGTGTGCGCGGTCGCTTGCAGCGGCGGGCGTCGCCATGCTAATGTCGCAGACATTCCAGACACTGCTCGTCCACCCAGCGCGCAAAGCAAGCTGCCGCTTCCCGCCTCGCCGAGCGCATGCTGCGTCCAGATATCTCCGCCCCCACCCTCTCCCCTTGCCCCCACAGCTCTCCGCAGCTCAACGCCAGCCGCCGGCCGCCAACGACCAACTGCCAACCGCGGCGCGCGCTGGCCGCACCTGGTCCCGCAGCCGCGCCTCGTCCCAGGGCTGCAGCTTCAGGCTGCGGTACATGTCGCCGCCCGCCGCCGCGCGGAAGAACAGCAGCACCGCGTCGGCCGTCTCGTCGGTGTGCAGCAGCTGCACAACGCCAGGAATGCTGCGAGTTTGGGGGACGGCATTCGCAAAAAGCGCACCGCACCGTCTTGGCAGGGACCGCAGAGGCGACTGGGCTGTCGGGGATCAAGCGGGTGATCGCATGGTCGAGGCAGGCGCGCATGCAGCACATGCGCGGCCTAGGGGCCGGCGAAGTTGGCACCAGAGTGGGGTAGGCCGCGCTTGGCCTCACAGCAGGACCAAGCTGGCGCATATCTGGCGCCAACGGCCGCCGCACGCCGCGGCGACCGCCAGAGGTGGGCTGGTGCCGAGCGATCGCATGCGTGGGTGCATGGGCACCCATGCACGCACCCGCATTGGCGCAGGTGCGCAAGGACGCACAACTCTCGCCGCAGGTTGAGGCAGTGGCGCGGCGCGAGCAAGCCCTTGCTGTAAGACTTGACCGCCAGCAGCTCGCCGTCCGCGCAGCATAGCGAGACCGTGCTCGTCCTGTCAACACATTTGCGAGCACGAAGGAGCCCAGCTGTCAATTTAGGGAGACCTCGAGGGCTGCCCAATCCTGTTTCGAAAGAGCGGGCCCGAGGACTCACGCTCCGCGGTGGATCAGCCGGTGCGAGGGCGCCCATTGGTGTAGATCTTCCACCTCGTCTGCTCTGCCACCCATCCCGTCCACGGGCCGCGGGTGGTGAGGTGGGCGCCAAAGTTGTTTGCCGATTTCCGCCGGCAGCCCGCACACTGTCTGCTCGCCCGAGCACATCTCTAATAAAGTATGTACAGCCCCGTCTAGAGGGAGGGGCGCGGCGACAGGGATGACGCTGGTGTTGAAGTGCCCAAGCTTGGGCAAGCTGCGCTCGAGTGGGCCATTATACCGTATGTTCGGAAATCTTGAAAGGATACTACAGTTTTGTGAACGTGCACCGGTGCTTGGAGGATCAAAGAGGCGGCATACACGGGCACTTTTGCCAACACCGCGATCCCGGGTGCCCCAGTGGTGCGCGCAAGGCATGTTGTGTTGTGCTGGTACCGGCCGTGATGGCAAGTGTGCTACCAGACGGCTTGCGATCGGCTTGGCGCTTGATGGCAAGTTGTTGACAGCAACTGATGTCGTCGCGACAACCAGGCCAGCTGATCAGGCCCGGCCAGCCATGGCCGCCAATGACCGCCAACCCATTCGGAGTACGCACAACGACAGGGTGTCAGAGGCAATTGCCATCTGATAACTGCTGCAACCGGGCATGCCTCTGGCGGCATGTGTATTGTACACAACGCCCAGTTGTGCGGCGGATGCTGGGGCACATCGCGCCCCTGTCCCAACAGCACAGACAATACAAAGAAGGTCGTGGACATGATAAGAAAACCCCAGGCTCATCAACCGGTCGCGCACGGTCCACATGCTACCAGCCTGATTGACTGAGTGATTTGGTGAGGTCGGGTGACACAAACAGCCTGGACAAGCAAGTTCGCGTATGCTGCTGCAGGCCGCCTCAAATTTTTTACCTTCGATATGTTCCATCCTATTACAAATCAAACTCCCTGATCTCTTGCTGGCCTGGGTGGGTGGGACCGACAGACTCGGCGCCCGGCCCCCGAGGGTACACCATCCTCCTGGATGCCGTGTCAGACTTGGGCCAGCCCCTTCAATATGTGGGAGCCAGCAAAGCACAACACCGGCACACGTACTGGCTTTTGATCCATAAATGCTGGCCGACCTTGCAATGTCGGCCTCCCCAAGGCGCACACATACCGGTGTGCGCTAATGTCCGAGGGAGGAGCCTTGGAGGCACGTATGCGAGGGGCCCGACAGGATTTCATGGCTGACTGCGCTGGAATTCAACCAATATTGCTATAAAGTTTGATTTGCACGGCTGAAATCACCGCGCGGCCACCGTAACAACTCGAGCGCACGTAACTTTGTGCAGGTGTGGGAAATCGCATGCCTCCAGGTCCGTGATGCATTGAATGTATGGACTTGTAGTGCATACGTCATGGCGATCCTGCTTTCAAAGCCGGTCAAAGCATAGCGTGTGTCAGACGCGGACCGAAAAACTGAGCCCGCCCACGAATCGCGGTCTTGTTTGCCACATATAGGTTATAAAATGCAGCAATATACTCAAGGAAAGCGGGTGAGAGCTCGTCTTTGGCACTGCAGCATGTCTCAGGGCGCTGCCGCAGCTCCTCACGCCATTGTGCAGGGCGTTGAGCGGTGGGAGGCGCGATCGCGAGCGCCGCGTGCCGTCTGCTTCAGCACACACCATTCCGATGCGATTACCGACCAAGCAATCGCCTGGCGCGCCCCCTCTGCCCTCCTCCACAGAGCTGCGGGCCCCTGGTGCTGGCGGCTGTGCTGGGCCTCACCCTGCTCGCACCCCAGGCAGCAGCATGGACCACGGGCCGTGCCACCTTTTACGGTAAGAACAGCGCTGGCAGCCGTACGGGCTGGCCGCGCGCTCAGACTAGCCCAGCGGTGCGTGCCTGCATGGGCGCGATCGCCTCTGCCCAGCTGAGCGAGGCGATTCAGCGGCACCGCTTCAGCCTGTACGTACATGCAGACAAGTCAGTTCAACCCGCCGTGCGCACGGATGCACGAGCACACCCGTTAACCGGCGCGGCCTGCGCTAACCCTGTCAGGCAATGAGCCTTGGAACTGGGACATCCACCACGGCTCCTGCGGTTACGGGTACATCTGGCCAGACCAGAACACAGGTGAGTCTGTTGTTTTTGCCCTCTAAAGTGAGGGACGCGCGACCACACAGGCTTGAGGCACAGGGTTTCGTATACGCCCATGGAACAGGGTTCTGTACACGCCGCGCAACCATTATAGAGTTGCAAAATGCAAGCCTCAAGACAAGGGAGCACACCAGCGGCTGCCTCTCGTGGGCAGCGCTCAACCCCCGCTGGCTGGTGTGCATTTGTGTTGATGCAGTCGTGCTCAACTTGAGGACTGTGTTATTGGCAACATTGCGACTGTCGGAGATGCAAGTATTGGATGTGGACAGATACGCATTCTGGCGTGCCAAACCAAGTGCAATATGCGCCAACCTCCCTTCGCACACCCAGGCTGGGACATTGCAGCCCTGGCGGACTCAAACTCGCGGTACAGCGGCAGCTGCGGGTGAGTCGCAGGCAGTGGGGTGAATGTGCCGAAGCCAGTGTGTCATGCTGTCAAACTAGCAGCAGTGCAGCAGCGTGCCATGCGCCAACAGGGTGCTTTGATGTGTCGACCGGCACCTCCGGGCTCATTTTGGCGGTCACGCAGCTGCGGCGTTGCCTGCTGGAAATCGGCGCTGCAGGGCTGCTGGCAGCCTTCCGCAGAGCCAGCAGCCTGGTTGAGGCCTGCTCATTTACTTGATGCCCCACTCACGCAATAATGTAAAGTATCCCTGAACCCCACCCTGACGGTTTAGAAGCGTGCCCTCCCCCCAAACACCCACACTCACTCACGCTCAACCACGCACATCCCTGTTTCTGATCAACTGCCTTGACTTGCCCCCTCCACCCTTACCCTTGCCCGCCCCCACTCAAATCCGCGGCCCCTCGCTCCTCCGCCGCGGCCGCCTTGCAGGCGCTGCTACGAGGTCAAGTGCGACCCCAAGTGGGTGCGCGATGGCTACGGCGAAGAGATGGACCGCTCCTCGGTCTGCCGCGAGGGCAGCGTCATCGTGCGCACGACCGACACGTGAGCGCATGCGTGCGACAGATCGCCGGTCCCTCACTGCCCCGACGACGTGCTGTGAGGGGCCGTGAGGGGGCAAAACGCTGGCCGCGTAGGCTGATCACAGTTGATGGTCCTGTTCGAAAGAACTAGCGCGCTTTGTCATGCCTGCTACCTGCACAGCTGCACTTTTGTCCTGCACAAATCAATAATCAGTACTGATGCGACCCCTGTTGCCACATCACTGCCTTACTCGCAGCTGCCCATGCAACTTTCCAAGTGCGTGAGCCCTGCAGCCCTCTACTTTGGAAGAGGGGATGGCACCTCCGGCCACACACAGCTGCAGCACCTTGTAGCGTCTGATGGTCACAAATCATTTGAACTTTGCTCGTCGCCTTCTGACAGGAGCACTCACAGACTGCGGCTTGGCCGGCCCACCTCTCTCTCCCCTCCCTGACTCTTCATTCTCCTCATGCCACTGCCCTCCTTACTCACCTGGCCCAATCCTGTGGACGGCAGGCAACTACGTGAGCCGCCCACTGGGTGGGGGGGCAGGGGTGCTGACTTCTGCCAACTACGCTTTGCCGGCGCAGCTCTGCAGACCAGCTGGCACCTGCAGCGCGCAGTCAGCTTGACGTCCGCTTTCCCCACTATGGTACAGCATCCAAACCTCCCTTCGCGTGCCAAACTCCACCCGCAACCGCCGAGCCTGCCTGCATTTTGCTGTTCCGCCATTCCTCGCGTCCCCGCAGTACTCGAACAAGCGCTGGTGCTGCGGCGACGAGGACCACCTTGACCTGAGTGTCTGGGCCTTCCAGAAGCTCGCCGACATGAAGGTGGGGGCGGCCTCCCCCCACCCCACCCCCGTCC